AGAAAGATAAAAAGGTTTATTTTTAAAAAAGAAAGAAAGAATGTGTATCAGCAGATATGTTTAGAGAAAGAAAAAAACTGAAGACCTGAGACTATAGTTCCTCTGCATTTATTCCAGGCTCCTAAGTCACAGGAGAGAGGCCCCATCATCTTGTACATCTCTGTTGTTCGTCTTCAAATGTTACTGATGTAACAGACCACAACCTGGAACATTGTCCACACCAACACCGATGGGACTAATGAAGATTATCTCACCCATACCCATTAGCAATGGGGAGAAGCATAATACTTGATTCAGAGTAACTTGCATAGGCTGTTTCTTAAAGTAAAATTGTGCACATGATTTTCTAAACCTATGAGGTGACTTTGTCTGAACAGGCCCATTTATCACGTGAATCACAGGACCCCACATAAAGCAGATACTATAGTCTGCAAGAACTGGATTGGGGAAATCTTTTAAACAGAAGAAAGCCCAAACAAGTAGGAAAATGTTATCATCTTTGGCACTGTCTAAACCTCAACTCTGAAAGGTAAAAATCCATCTGTCATCTTTTTCTCTCTTAAAACTGGAGGCCCACCACAGATGTAAATGCAGAAATTTGGACTGAAGATTTTTAGAAGATTTTTTTCACATATTTTTATGGAGAAAAATGTCCTTTGTTCCCTCAGATTCAGTTCCTCAGTCTCTTCTCCACCTTGAAACAGAAACCCATTAAAGCCTTCCCTACCTAACTTTCTCCATCTCCTCTGGATTCCTCAGAACTTCCCATTCTAAGCCCTACTACACATTGCTTTGTCCAAAGCCCCAACCGAACCAAGAAGGCACTCCCAGCTAACCCAAGGGCCACTCCTGCCTGGGAAACACGTAGGTTGCCTGGAGATCCACAGCTCTTCTTTTGCTCCTCCAGATCCAACCTGCTCCCAGTCTCCTATCCCACTCTACAGCAGAAAATTCATTGTGGTCTACCATTTCTCTCTGATACCACCCACAGCTTATCACACAGAACTTCTTCAGCTTTCCTTCCACAATTCTTCCCATTATCTAAACATCCAACATCAGCAGGAATATCCTGGGAACACACCAAGTGATCATGCCAGGAAAATTGGTTCACAGACAATTTCTTACCAGGCAGCACACAGGTACCAAACTAGGGAAGAAGAAGAAGCCAAGGAACAAAGCACTCATCCAAGTAGACAGTAGCATCCAGGCCTATAATCATCCCAATCCCAGATACTTAGATATCAGTATAAAAAGACAACCAATCACAGCCACGGCAATATGTATACAGTGAAGACCAGCAATCATACCCCATGCAGATACTGAATATTTCAACATAACTAAAGGCCAAAAGAAAGACCTAAAATCAGCCTATATGAAGATGATAGAACTCCATAAAAAGAAATCAATATGTTCCTTAAAGAAATCCAGGAAAACACAAGCAGTGAAAGGAAATGAGTAAAACTGTTCAAGACATAAAGATGCAAGTGTAGTCAATGAGGAGAACTCAAACTAAGGGAATGCTGGAAAGGAACAATTTGGGAATTTGAACAGAAACTACCAACCTCCCTTAGCAGAATACAAGAGATAGAAGAAAAAATTCCAGTGGATATATTTGTTAAAGAAAATATTAAATCTAGAAATTTCCTGACACAAAATTTCCTGGAAATCTTGGAGACTATGAAAAACAAAATTTAAAAATAATAGAATTAGAGGAAGAAAAGGATCTGTGTCTAAAGATCCAAAATTTATTTTCAATAAAATCATAGAAGAAAAGTCTCCTAACCTAAAAAAGGACATGCCTATACAGGTTCAAGATGCTTACAAAATACCAAATAGATTGGATCACAAAAGAAAGTCTCCTAGCCACATGATCAAAACACTAAACACACAGAAAAAGAAAGAATACTAAAAGCTGCAAGAGAAAAAGACCAAGTGCATTTTAAGGCAGAACTATCATAATTACACCTGATTTCTCAATGGAGACTCTAAAAGGCAGAAGGCCCTGGACAGATTACTGCTCATTCTAGGAGGTCTCAGATGCCTGCCCAGATGGCTATGCCTAGCAAAATGCTCAATACCACAGATACAGAAAATGAAACGATAAAATCAATTGCAAGCACTATTTATCTACAAATCCAGCTCTATAGAGGTTGCTAAAAGGAAAACTCCAATTGAAAGAGGTTAACTGCAGCCATAAAAACAAAGAGAATAAATAATCTCAGATCCCAACAAAATTGAAATACAGGAAAAAGGCACACATGTGCATGTGCCTAAACATGCGCGCGCGCACACACACACACACACACACACACACACACACCGTTATTACCACTATTACCACCACTATCACAACCATCACCACCACCACCAACAACACCAACAAAAAACAAAACAATAGACATAAACAATCATTGGTGATCAATACCTCTCAATATCGGTGGTCTCAACTCAAAAATAATAAGGCACAAACATAGAATGGATGAAAAACAGGACCTATACTTTTATTACATACCTCAACATCAAAGATAGAGATTACCTCCGGGTAAAGGGATCTTGGAAAAAGATATTCCAAGCCAATGTACCTAAGATTCAAGCTGGCATAGCTATTCTAATATCTAGGAAAATGTACTGCAAACCAAAACTAATCAGAAGAGACAGTGATGGACACTATATATGCATCAAAGGAATAATCCACTAAGATGACACTTCAATTCTTAAAATCTATGCTCCAAATCCAATGACAACCACTTTTGAAAAGGAAACACTACAGCAGTTATTCACATATGATCCCTCATCCATTGAGAGTAGGAGACTTCAGTACACCACTCTCAACAATAGGGAAGTCATGTAAACTAAAAAGAAAAATGCTGGAGCTAACTGACATTATAAACCAAATGAACCTAACAGATGTTTATAGAATTTATCACCCAAACACAAAAGAATATACATTATTCCTTGTGCCTTGTGGAAATTTCTCCAAAATTGACTACATACTCATACACAAAGCAAGTCTCAACAGAAACAAGAAAAGTGAAATAACTGCTTTCATTCTATCAGACCACCATGGAACGAGACTAGATATCAACAAGAGAAATAACAGAAAGTTTACAAACTGATGTGAACTGCAAAACTGTCTACGGAATGAAAATTGTGTCAAGACAGAAATAAACAAAGACTTTCTAGGATTCAATGAAAATGAATACATACCACACCCAAACTTATGAGACAAAACAAAAGTGTTTCCAAGAAGCAAGTTACTAGCACTAAGTGCCTACATAACAAACTGGATAGATCTCATACTAGCAACTCAAATGAACACCGTAAGGTTCTAGAACAAAAATAAGAAATCACACCCAAAGGAGTAGATGGCAAGAAATAAGCAAACTTGTGGCTGAAATCAATAGAATAGAAACTAAGAGAACAATGAGAAGAATCAAATCAACTCTTGGTTCTTGGAGAAAAATCAGCAAGATCAACAGAGCTTTACTAACTTTAACTAAAAGGCAGAGAATTTCCAAATTAACAAAATAAGAAATGAAAGTGAGATATAGCAACAGACACCAAGGAAACCCAGAGGATCATGAGGACATATTTTAAAAACCTTCATCCCACTGCCAGAGAGTCTGGGAAAGAGAACCTTCATCCAGTGGCTGATGGAAGCAGAGGAAGACTCCCACAGATGAACATTGAAATGAACTCCTGGAATCCAGTGACAGAGTGCCTGCGCCTGCTGCACAGCCTGTGTCAGAGAATGTGCGGAGGGTGTCGGGGATTGACAACACCCAAGGCTCCTCAAGAAGGCTCTCTTTTATTCCTACTCTGGCTGCTTATTATATACCCTGACACCAGAGGTGGGGGTGGGTGGCTAGAAAGAGGCTGTTAGTCTTTGGAAAAGGTCGAGGTCAAGGCAGTTCCCATGGGCCAGCCCTTTTCAGGAACTTATTGCCCCTGGCATTGTATTGTTTTTAGTAAACATGTTTTTAGTAAACATTGTCTTACTGCTGCCTACTCCCAGGCTGATGGGGATGTGGGTCTCTCTGCTCAAGGTCTGGTGTTGCCACAACAGAGAAGGAATACTGATGAGCAAAGGGGTCAACACTGGTCTGATTTAACCCACAGAAACAGCTGACCTGAACAAGCTGGAGCTCTTGAACCCCAGACTGATGGCTGATCCAAACCTTCTGAATATGGGTGTCAGTGAGGAGGCCTAGGCAATATATGGGGCCTTGGGTTGTAGATCAGTATTTATCCCTGGAATACAAATGGACTTTGGATGCCCATTCCACAATGAGGGATGCTCTCTCAGCCTGAACAAAATGGCAGACTCTCGAAATCCACCATTGAGGGCCTCATCCTCCCTGAAGAACAGAGTGGGGATTTGGGCAGGAGGCTGGGGAGGAGGAGAGGGAGAGGGAGCTGGGATTGACATGTGAAGCGAACTTGTTTCTAATTTAAATTTTGAAAAAAAGTTAAAATTTTAAAAATAAACCCTTTTCTATGACCAATTTGGAAAATCTAAAAGAAATGGATAATTTTCTCAATATGTACTGCTTACCAAAATTAACATGAGCCAGTACCGATGTAAAGAGGTTTGTTAGTAACTATAGCTGTCACACTTATCAGTTTTGTCGTAGATAAAACTAGCATGTCGAGAAAGGGCAGAATGCACAGAATCGCAATAGTTAAGCCCTTGGATAAGAATGTATGAAATCTAGTCTTTGATTCTAACACCTCACGTCGGGGCCTTAGGTTGTGTTAATCAGGAAGCTTACAGATCCGTATTTCTCCTCTAAGGAGACTGAAATGCAGACTTTCAGAAACTAGTCGAGACGAGAGTTCCTAAAACACCGTGCTGAGGCATCCTGGGCTAAAACTTGTAGGTTAAGGTCCACAAGACGTTCTCCCCGGAGCTGTAGTTCCGCCCACATGCACCTGCCTCCTGGCTCGCCGCAACTACACTTCCCAGAGGCCCTGCGGCTTTTTACGCCGGCGTGCTGCTTTCCGGCAGCCTTTTACGTCGGCCCGGAGAGAAGGCTTTGGCGCGCGCGCCCCGTCGCAGCATGGGGTCCTCACTGTCGGGGAGTTCGGAGCGTCCCGGGGCTGCTCCCGCCGCCGCCCCCGCTAACCCTCCGGCGGAAGCCGCCGCACCGCCCTCCCCGGCGCAGGACGCGCCTTTCAAAAACTGCTGGAGCTGCCGCCTGCTGTCGGGGTCGGCGCTGCTGGGGGCGGGCGCCTACGTCTACTTGGTGGCCAGGAGGCCCATGAAGCTGGGAATCCCGCCGCAGCCGGGCAACATCGCGCAGATGGTCATCGGCCTCAGTGAGCCGGGTGGCCCTGGGGCGCTGGGGGAGAAGTGGGGGGCAGGAGGGGCAGCCGGGTTCCAGCAGTGCAGGGTTTGCACAAACTGCCCCCTGTGGAGCGCGGGGTAAACTAGAATGCAATGGATCAAAGCCCCCCTCCACCCCTCTTTTTTCTTCAGGTATTGCCTGTTGGGGTGTAATTATCCTGACAGACCCCAAAGGGAAGGCCCACCGAGTTGTTTGAAAGCACCGGCGGTCTACTCGCGGTCTCCTGTCCCCGGGTGCACGGCAGGAAGAGCAAGCCTTGTGTGCGTGCATTTTCTTTGCGCTCCTGGACTGGGGGATGCGCTTCGCTAAGAGACATACGAAGAAGACTGTGACCACAGGAACTGCCGTTTCTTTTGGCCCCCGGGTGTTCACGGTGTTGTAAAGGGACAAATAAATCCCACGAAAGCAAAAAAATGGATCTGTGTCTCGTCCAGGGAGGTTGTGGGCAGTTCAGATTTTTACTGAGAGGGAACGGCTTTAAGAGAATAATAAAGGGGAGTAAATGATAGGCCAATGGTGAATCAAGCTGTTTCATTATTGTAGTAAGTAGATCTTTTTGTGTTTGTTTTTGTTTTTCTCATTGTACCGGTAGTTGTTGCCAGACTAACCCGGGATAGGTATGTGAAACTGATTTGAAAGTTTTTCATGGTTTTCAAAGGAGCCTCAACTCCTTCACCGAGTGAGAGCTGTTGATTTTTATTGATTGGTAAACCTTAAGACAATCCTGGTGGGATTGCTTTAAAATGAGCACAGTAATGGAGCGAAAAGATTTCCTTCCTGGTTCTGTGTTTCACAGCTAGGGTAATTCCAAACAGGTGGGAGTTACATTTATCCACCAAATATCAATGCATTATAAAAGTCATGAATATCAAAATATTAAAAATTCAGAAGAAAATCTGTTGATTGCTATTTCCATAGGCATTATAAATATTTTAGATGGGAATTGAGATGATTTAGAGATAAAGGCTTAAAAACAGTTTAAGCCATGGGTGCCTGTTGTCAGGCGTTGGTTTCTTGGCTTTTCTCTGAAATACTGAGTTATCTGTGCAAAGATATGTTTAGGTGGTCTTGAAGGTAGAAAGGTATTAAATTCAGTACCAATTAGTAAATTTTGAATACAATTAAAGTATTTTACTTTAATTTTTCACAAATTTATACATACATTTAAAATATTGTGATCATACTTCATTATCTTTTCATCTTCTCTCTCTCTCTAGTGATCCACTGAGTTTAATTAGGATCATTTGCATAAATATAGATGGGATTCTGAACTACACTAATGAAGTGAATTTTTTTGTTTATTTTGTTTCTGGGTACATCTGAATTCTTTATAGTAACTGTGTACATTTATTAATGTTTTGGTTTTTTCATGCTGACATAAGTTGAACTTAACATGGGAAGAGAAACCTCAGTTTAAAGGAGTACCTTTATCAGACTGCCTGTGAGCAAATCTCTGGGGCATTTTCTAGATTAATGATTATGTGGGAGGGTCCAGCCCACTCTGGGTAATACCACTTGTGGGCAGGTAGTCCTGGAGAGTGTAAGAAAGCAAGATGAATAAGCTAGGGGCAGCAAACCAGTAAGCAACACTCCTCCAAGGTCTCCACTGCAGCTCCGGCCTCCAGGTTCCTGCTCTGAGTTCCCATGTTGACTTCACTGAAGAAGGTCTGTAACCTATAAGCCAAATAAACCCTTCCCTCCCTAAAGCGCTTGGTTGTGATGTTTTATCACAGGGATTGATAAAAATGTTTCTATTCATCTCAACCTGTAGCACGTCATATGTTTGGGGGTTTTGTTTTTGATTTGTTTTCCCGAGGAGGGCCTTAGCTTAGTAGCTGCTAACTGCCCAGGGTGGTATTGGTGACTGTAGTTTTTCAAAATGGAAGTTTACCATATAAATGGTTCTTTACATCAAGTATTTCTCACTGCAGTGCTCTTTGATAGCATCATACTCAGGAGAACTTGAAGACTGGGAAGTAATCTCACAAACCCTGCAGCTCTTTTCATCAACTAAGCTTATAAGAGAGTCTCAATCAGTTATTGACACTTAAACCAAGTTTTTAATTCCTTACAGTAGTTTGTATCTTGAGGAACCCCTTTCTTTGGTGAACCATAAGTAGAGACTCTAAATGTTTATCATGAGACTAAAGCAATTTTGTCACCTTACAAGTTCTAATTTTAATATTACTTGCTGTTTTTAACGCATCTTCATTTACTGTTTCTATTACTAAATCTTCAACCCCTGAAAGAGGCGGAATCAGTTTCCTCTACACTCGTGTTAATGTTGGTATTTTGGCCTCCTCTTGTAAGTCAAAAAATTCATAATGGCGTTTAGAAATGGTGAATTGCTTTTAGTATACTGAAATCCATCAGAGGAATCTCTGTGGTGTCTCTAACATCTCCTAAATGAGACTTGAAAGTTCAAGGAATAATACATTTGCATTCCACTTTGTTGGTTAATAAGTGCATTGTTACTGTAAGGAATCTAAGGACTTAAAAATCCAGTAAGCTATGTTGGAAGCAGATGTGCTAATATCCAGCTGTGTTCCATTTATAGAGGAAGGAGTAGATGTAGCACGATTCTTAAAGCCCCTGCAATGTTCAGAATGATAAATGAGTGTCGCCTTCACTTTAAGTTACCAGCTTCATTTATGCTGAATGAGAATCAGCCTGTGCTTTGAGGCTTTCACACTTTTAAAAAGGGCATTGTCTTCTCTGCAGCTATGAACATTCTAGGTAGCATTTCCCAAATAAGATATGCACTGAATGTCTTGTTTAATGCAGCCATGGTCATCATTTACCCTCGCTAAATCTAAGGATCCTCATTAGCTTCTACAATAGCACTTGCTGTGACACCTTGCACTTTTAGCTAGTGGATATGACTTTCACTAAGTTCATGAACCTAGCTCTCCTGACTTTAAATTTTTCTTCTGAGGATTTCTGGTCCATCAGGGTTCATATAATTTAACAGTAGGCTAAGGCCTTGTTCTGGCTTAGATTTTGTCTTAGAGAAATGTAGCTGGCTTGATCATCTATCCAGAGGATAAACCTCTCTTCACATCAAGGCTGTGTTCCTTCCTTAAGTTGTAGGAGTAACACTTTTAATTCCCTTCAAGAAGTTTACCTTTGCATTTCCAGCATGGCTTAAAGTTTGTTGTGTGTTGGTCTAACTTTCTGCCTATTTTGGCTTTCTACATGCTTTTGTCATAAAGACTCCTCATTAAAAGTTAAAGTGGGAGTTAGTGTGACTCTCAAAGAGTTAAAGATTCTAAGGGTTATTAAACTAATTTCAATATCGTTTCAGAATAAATAGGCTGTTGAGTGGGGTAAGGTTTGCAATTGTTTCTGAGTCTCTAAGTCAGGTCATAATGCTTCTAAGGTATGATCTGCTCCTGGGTTGTTTCTTTTATGCTAAACTTCAAAGAAATCTGTAAAACATTTACATTCTGGATATAAATCTTGTCATTTTGGGTAGTATCATCTTTTATTCCTGTTATATATACTGTTACGTTGTTTGGAGTCTTGCAATCACCTAGCAATGTGTATAATCCTGTTAAAAGACCCAAGTATACTCCTGTCAGAATGGCTAAAATCAAAAACACTAATGACAGTTTATGTTGGAGGGGATGTGGAGAAAGGGGAACGTTCCTCCACTGCTGGTGGTGGTACTTTGGAAATCAGTATGGAGATTCCTCAGGAAAATGGGAATCAGTCTACCACAAGACCCAGCAATTCTACTCCTAGGCATATACCCAAAAGATGCACATTCAAACAACAAGGGCATCTGTTCAGCTATGTTCATAGCAGCATTATTTGTAATAGCCAGAACCTGGAAGCAACCTACATGCCCCTCAACTGAAGAGTGGATAGAGAAATTGTGGTACATTTAAATAATGGAGTACAACTCAGCAGAAAAAGCAATGGAATCCTAACATTTGCTGGTGAATGGATAGCACTGGAAGAAACCATCCTGAGTGAGGTAACCCAGTCACAACAAGAGAAACATGGTATGTACTCACTCAAATATGGATTTTAGATGCAGAGCAAAGGATTACTAGCATACAGTCCACACCACCAGAGATGCTAGGAAACAAGGAGGATCCTAAGAGAGACATACATGGTCCCCTGGAGAAGGAGAAAGAGACAAGATCTGAGCAAATTGGGAGCATGGGGGTAGGGGAGAGGGAGTTAGAAGAAAGAGAAGTAGAGAAGAGGAGGATATGAGGGAGTAGGAAGATTGAGTCAGGAAGAATGGAGGAGAGCAACATAAGAGATACTGTAATAGAGGGAGCCATTATAGGTATAAAGGGAAATCTGGTACTAGGGAAATGTTCAGAGATCTACAAGGATAACACCATCTAATAATCTAAGCAATAGTGGAGTTACCTTAAATACCCTTCCTCGATAATGAGACTGATGACTTTTATATGCCATCCTAGAGCCTTCATCCAGTAGCTGATAGAAGCAGAAGCAGACACCCATAGCTAAACATTGACCTGAATTCCTGGAATCCAATTACAGAGAGGGAGGAGTGATTAGCAAAATGGTCAAGACCAGGCTGGTGAAACCCACAGAAGCAGCTGACCTGAGCAAAGGGGAGCTCGTGGACCCCAAACTGATGGCTGGGAAACCAGCATAGGACTAATCCAAACCCCCTGAATTTGAGTGTCAGTGAGGAGGCCTCGGCAATCTATGGGACCTCTGGTAGATCAGTATTTATCCCTAGCATAAAAATGGACTTTGGGAGCCCACTCCACATAGAGGGATACTCTCTCAGCCTAGATATATAGGAGGTGGGTAGGCCCAGCCCCAAATGATATGACAGACTTTGAAGATCCCCCATGGAAGGCCTCACCCTCCCTGGAAAGTGGAAAAGGTATGGGATAGGCAGTTAGTGGGGTACAGGAAGGAGGGGAGGGAGAGGGAAACTGGGATTGACATGTAAAGCAAGCTTGTTTCTAATTTAAATAAAAAATAAGAGTCCTGGTAATGTAGAGGGGCTGAGTTTGTGGTTTACTTCTGTTCTCAGGCAGTTGCTGAGACAGATGTTGATAGCAGCACTACTCAGGTCACCTGGTTGAGCCTCCTTGTAAAGGCAGCTTATTTTTGGTAACCCTGTAAGCTGAGCATCTCAACCAAGTTGTTTTTTCATTCCCACCCCCATTGTTTAGCTTTTGCTCCCTTCTTATTACCTGTTTTCCTTTTTTTTTTTTCTTTAAGGATCATTTGTATCTGAAGTAGGAGCCTCAGGAATACTGCCAATTGATTTGACAACATAAAATATGCTGCTCTTAAATGTATTTTCAGGGCACTTCTCTGCACAAGTATCTCACAAACTAGGCTTGGTTCCAACTAATACCACTACATTCATCAAGTCACTGCTTCTCAAATCGATAGAATGAATGGAAAGCAAATGTGATTCAGAAAGCTTTTTTTTTTGTGTGTGTGTGACAGATAAAGTCCTGTCTTGATTCTATAGGTGACTGGGTCACAGAATCTGAGGTGAGACCCATTATTACACATCATTCTGAGTTATTCTGAGCCCCAGCCATAAGTATGTCACTCTTGTCAAAGATATGTCTCATAGTCTTATTCTACATTCAGATGTCAATAGAGTATAGAGGAAGAGCCAAGGGACAGATGTTAAATGCAGCAGAATCACTAAAAACAGCCTGTTCAGTTATGTGAGAAATCTTGTATTGGCTCTTGATAGACAGGATTTCATGATCACAATTTTCTATTCCCATGGTACACACACATTCTCATAGTAAATCCAGCCACATACCACAGTAGGTACTACAAGGAAGGGATTTTTGCAGTCATAATAAAATTGTGATCAGTTGATCTAAAAACAGGATTGCCTAAATGAACCAGTTGTAACAGCTCATTAAGTTTTGTTTTTTGTGTCAGAGACAAAGGAGGTTGTAATCCTGTCCTCCCTGTGCCTATCCGAGGGTTGACACTTCCAGGGAAGGCACATATTCTTGGAAGCCCTTTTTACCCCAAATTCAGACTGTCATAGGAAGATGTATAAAATGCAGATGTATACATGGCGTTAAAGTGCTCCTTATGTTGAAAGAGTAATACTGTTTGGCGTGTGTTCCTCTGGTGGTGCCATCATCGCTGAAACTGTTCTCATCTGATTTAGCTTCCGTCAATCACTGTCACTTTGTTTTTCATGTCCTGCTTTGGGGACATCAGTTAGTCCAACCATATTACTTTCCATGTTTCTCCAGGACCGCGCGACAAGGCCTACCTATTTTCCTTTTGATATTTTGGGAAGCCTATTAAACAGTCCCTCAAGAGCTACTCTCCTACCTAACAGTAAAGCATGGCATGCTAGGCCAAATTCCTATTCTGTTGTAAGTATCAGGATGTAGTGGCACTGACAACAGACTTGGACAGTGTTGTATTGTCTTTATAGTCATTTTTTCTACTAATGTTTTCCTCAAGTGAAATGCTTTTATTTACTTATTGTATATTGTTGTTTTGAGACAGGTTCTCATATGATGTAGTATAGGCTAGCCTACAACTCATTATCACCTATGTTTTGGCCTATAGGTGTATGCACCATGCCTGACTCTTAGATAACTACATTTTGTTTTTTTTTTTTAATATCAGTCTTTACATTATAAAATATAGAATTAAAAGTTCAGGTTTTTTTCATTTTGCAAATCATTATGCTAATATTTTCTATGTACTGATT